TTATGACTCAGCCTCAGAAGTCTCAGAATGCCACTTCTGCCCCAAATTCTATTGGCAAACAAGTCACTAAAGGCCAACCCAGAGTGAAGGCTCAGGAAGTGTTTAAGAAAATAGGCTTGCTCATTTTGTGGTTTGGTTCTACCACTGCTAGCTAAGTGACCTTGAGAAAGTTTACTTAAACTCTCTTAGAACCTCAGTTTTTGCATCTATAAGATGAGAATATTAGTAGTAGTATCTACCGCTATGGCTTATGGGAATTAAGTGATTATATATACGTATCTCATGTTAATGCCTGGTCTGGAAACACCTTCTCGTGATCACTGATATCTACAGTTTCCTTTCTTCATGGGCACCCCACGAGACTACGTTTCCCAGCCTCCTCTGCAGTTGGGTGTGACCGCGTGACTGAATTCTGGCCCAGAGAACTAGAGGGGAAGTGATACATCAGGCCTCTACATCCTCCATGCTTGCTCCCCCTTCCACCCATCAGCTGGTGTCGTGAGAGAGAAATAAAGCTTTGTTTGTCAGAGCCATCAGCCTGACTAATACCCGGGTACATAAGATCTCAATTAAAGTTAGCTGCTGTCTGGCTTAACCTCTCTGCCCCGTGTCCTTGTCTGTAAAATGGGATGATAAAGGACCTACCTCATAGGGTTGTGAGAACTAAATGATATGTACAGTTGATCTTTAAACCGTGAAGGGGGTTGGGGGCACCGACTCTCCAACGGAGTTGAAAATTCACGTGTGAAACTTATAGTTGGCTCTCCTTATACGTGGTCCCTCCGAATTCACGGTTCCTCCAGATCTGTATCAGCAATTCACTTTGGTGGATTCAACCAACCATGCATTGTGTAGTACTATAGTACTTACTATTAAAACCAGTCTGTGTATAAATGGACCTGTGAAGTTCAAACCTGTGTTATTCAAGAGTCCGCTGTATAGTTTGACTTGCTGGCCTAGCTCTTTTTTGATCACAGTTATTTCATCTAAATTCTATAACCTGGTCATCATTACCTTTTTCTTCAAGCAAGATTATCCATAATAAAGCCTCCTGAAGGTTTTAAAAGGATAACATGTGAATTTTGCAGTATTTTAGGCCTAAAGCCAGTAATAGTGGCACCATTTTAATTCAGAATATTTCCTGAAATCCATTTGCTGATGGATTTCAAAACCTAAATATATAGAATAGGATGTTTCTAATTTTTAAAGTTAGTCAATTTATTTTTTATTTTTTAAATTAGGAAATATTTTAAGAATACATAAAAAAATAACAAACAGCTGTATTCCCACAACTCAGTATGGCCCTAACATTTTGCCATGTTTGATTTGTGTTTTCTCTAAAGAAAGAAAACATTATGAATGAAACTGAAAAAAAAAGATGCATGATGTATCCAAAGCGCCCAGCATACATCGTACCTGGCATATGCAAAGCAGTAATTATCAACAAATTTTTATAACACTGAATTTTGAAATTATTTTCGATTTACAGAAAAGTTATAAAGATAACAGAGACATTTCTTATATACTCTTCACCCAGCTTCCTCTAATGTTAACTTCTTCTATAACCATGGTATGTTTAGCAAAGACATTAAAAATTGACGTCACACTATTAACTAAACTGCAGACTCTTTTCAGATTTTACCAGTTTTTCTGCTTATACCCTTTGCTGTTCCTGAATCCAGTCTGGGGTGTCATGTTGCACTTAGGTCAGCTAATTTTTAATTGTTCATTAATTAGTTCATTCATTCAGTGCACTGAGAGTGCTACCAGCTTTCAGTCCGAGACTGGGGGTTCTGTGCAGCTGTTGATGTCAGGGCCCTTGTTCTGTGTATTGTTACGATAGTCGCGGCTTTCAGTTTTGAGAGCTTGCCACATGTTGTACAAAGCACTTTCTACATGCCCCACGTAACCCTTCCATCAATCCTGTATGTTGGCTATTACTACGCCCACGTTAGAGGTGGTGGAAACTGTGGGATGGGGGGATTAAATGAGTTCACATATCTGGTAAGGGGCAGAGGTAGAATTTGAACCCAGGCAACCTGGCTCCAAAATCACACTCTTAACACTACCCTACTTCTTTCATGAGGCTGCTCTATAGAACAGGAGGAGCAGATGCATCATCACACACCTCCTGGGGTAAGGGTGACAGATAGGAAGGCTTCTTGGTGGAGGTGCCAGTCTGGAGGTCAACCTCTGTTTCCTTGGTTGCTCTGGGGAATGTTTGGCCTTCTTTGCCTTCTGAGGGTTTCCCTCCCTTTTCTCCCTGTAGCCCCAGATTCTGAGCCCAGTTCTTGGAACCCCAAGAATGTAACCTGCTGCATCTCAAGCTCCAGGCCCAGCATGCAGCTCTGCCCCAAATTCTGGGCTCTCCACCCCAGCCAGCAGGGGCAGGCTGCCCACATCCATCTCCCAGAGGTTGATTTAGAGACTAGCTTCTGGAGCCGCTATTTTGGATCCTGCTGACCGTGCACAAGCAAGAAATAGGCACAGGGGCTGAGTTGTCAGCCTAGGGGCGGGGCCAGAGGGAGATCCAAGGAAATTGGGAGCGAGCGGGCTGGGCTACTGAATGGGTACTGGCTCTGTCTGCTCTAGCGAATTATAGGCCCCACCAACCTAAGGATGAACCGAGAAGTTTCCAACCCCAGGTTGGAGAGGGGCCCTGCCTGATTGGGCCCAGCAGCACCAGCCTTCTGCCATCCTCCAGCTGACAAGTAAATGTTTACCCTTTGAAAATGGCCCAGAAAGCACCTGAGGCAGCCAACTGCCAACTGTAATTAGGACCAAGCACTGCAGGGAGGATAGCAGAGGAGCTGCTGGCCAGTACCTGCCCTTAGAGGCCAGAGCCCTGGATCCAGGAGGCAACATCCAGCCTCGTTTTAGCTTCTCTGAGCATCAGTTTGTTCACCTGTAAAATAGGGATATTAATTCCTACAGGCCAGACAAGGCCATATACCTTTGTGCGGTTTATAAATTGCAGAAGGAGTGAAGGGGGCCCAAAACCCAGCCTGTGCTCAGCTCACTAAGCTGGGCACTGTGGCTTAGAGCTACGTCTGCTTAGGAGGAAGGGACACCTTTTCCTTGACCAAACTGTTTGCCCAGGAGTGCTTCTGTCTAAAAGGCTGCTGTGGTCAGAGGGGGCCCCTCTTTCTGATTTGCAGAAAGGAAAAGCACCTGCCCTCTGGAAACAGAGGAGGTGATAGAGAAGAGCAAAGTCTCCTTAAGCCCCCAGGAGAAGGCAGGGCTGGCCCCAGAGAGCCTTGGTAGAGAGTAAGGAGGGGGGCTCACAGGTAGCCCAGGGGGACAAGATGATCTGGGAAGAAGGTGTCAGGGTAACCAAAGGGTGAGATGCTGTGTACAGGCAGAGATGGGAGGAGAGGAAGTGCCCTCTGGAAGCGAGCCCAGTCCTGGGGTCCCACTCCCACTAGTGACCTTTGTAGAGAGAGCCCAGGAGCAAGGAGCTGTACCTGAGGGCAGGGTCATAGAGAATATGGGAGTTACAGGGACCTTGAGCGTAGGAAAAGCCTGCTGAGAGACAGCCTGCTGGAAGAGGATGACAAAGCACCAGGCAAATATAATTCAGAGTGACAGGTGATACCACAAGGGGTAGCCTGAGGAAGAACACTTCACTCAGGCTTGTGGGGTCCAGGGGTGTATCCAGAAGTGATATCTAAACTGAGACCTCAAAGAGACCCCAGTGAAATGGGTGAGGATGTACATTCAGGTGGTGCTACCTGAAGCAGGTGCAAAGCACCAAGAGGTAAGAAGAGTACAGTACACTCCGGAAACTGCAAATGGATTTACTATTTCTTAATGGCACGATGTATGGGGACAGAATTAGAAGAGGTACATCTGGAGACATGAGAAGTTCTCAGATAATGAAGCAGCTATGCTTGGTCAAGGTGTCCTTCAGGGGTTGTAAGTGGAGGAGTGATGCGATCAGATTTTCGTTTTAGTCAGATATCTGGGGGCTGTGTGAAGACTGGAGGGGCAAGGTTGGAGGCAGAGAGACCATCGGGGGCTGAGCAAGAATCCATGTGAGAGGTGAAGTGGCTTGAACTTGGGCAGTCAGCAAAGATGAAGCTAAGGGAGCAGATCTGAGCCCTATCTAGGAGGTAGAATTAGTAGGTAAATTAGAAGAGAAGCAGGAGTCCAGGGTGACATTCATCACTGACTTGGGTAACAATGCCTGTCAGAACCCTTCACTAAAATGGGGAACTAGGAAGGGGAGTGGGTCCGGGTGGAAGGTGGTAAGTTCAGTTTGAAGTTCAAGAACAATATTCGAATGGAGGTGGCCGGGAGAATACAGAGGTTTTGTGCTCAGAAGAGAGAATCGGGCTGCACAGGGGTCTGAGCATCATCAGCCTAGAGATGTGGGCTGGGGCTGTGGGAGCACGGGGACCCCCAGGAGAGCAGGAACACTGAGGGAGAGAAGAGGCAGAGGCCAGAGCCTTAGAAACCTTGATGTTTAAGGGTCTGCCAAAGAAGGCAAGGGCTAAGTAGGAACAGTCAGAGAGGTAGAAGGAAAGCCAGCCCTACTTAATCCTCATAAAAACCTTGTACCAGTACAGGCGAGGGACCTGTGGGCTTTCTATATTGTTTTATTTTATTAGGGCACAAGATGTAAGAAACTCGGGGCCAAATGTTGCCCCATCACAGAACCATCCTTTGCCAGGATTTCTGGCTTGTCTGCTCCCCAACCCTATCCTCTGGTTTAATGCCTCTCTTAGGTTTCTGTAATTTTAGTCAGTCCTTTTGAAAGTAGAATGAAAATGAAAAGACTGGCTGGATTCAGGAGATGCAGTTTGTGCACAGCAAGCTTTGATAGTCAGTTTCTGACAGACTGGGCATGGGGAAGGTGCTGACACATCAAACTCTGGTCTTTATTCAGACGATGGACTCAGACTTTGTCTCCAGGCTGCCATCATGAGTTGGCAAGCCTTCTGGAACCTCATGACCATCCTGAGAGTAAGCCACTGCCCCACAAACCACCAGAAGATCTATCTTTATTATGATGAACCTTTTATTATAGAGACAGACTGAACTCTCTTTTGCATAAAGAATCTTTGGATTGGGTCAGGGAAATCCACCTGCTAAAGGTCACCAGCCAGTTCTCCCTGCCTCTGCCTCAGCTAAGCCCCGACTTGCTATTTACATCTGCAGGTCACTGGGAACAGCAGAGACTGCTGTCCCCAGGGCCAGGCTGGTCGGTTGAGTCTGGGATCCTGACTGCCACCAGGTCAGAGCCGGCCCGTCTCCCGCCCTAGTCGGTTGTCCAGAACCTGAAGCTGCTGGAGGAAGCCTGAGTTGGGGCAGATATCGCGGTGGGCCTGCACTGTCTGGATGGCCTCCACCAGCGTCATGTTCTCGCAGATCATGAGGAAGGCCAGGACAACTGTGGCAGAGCGGCTCACCCCCATGGCGCAGTGTACCAGCACGCGGCCTGCAGGGAGACCCAACCCAGCATAAACCACCGGTCCTTGCACTGCCCATCCTTTGGGGGATCAGAGATGCTTCTGGCCATCCAGGAGCCCACCTATCACAGCATCCTGGAATACTGACACTGTCTTCACTTTCCTATGGGGCAACTGAGGCCTAGAGAGGGAAGGGACTGGCTCAAGGTTGCACAGCAAGTCAGTGGCAAGGCTAAGGTTAGCAGCTGGGCTTCCCTTCTCCTGGTCCGAAGTGCTTCCTCTGGCATCCTTTGCAGCTTTGGCATGGTGGTGGGGATCAGTACTCCTGAAGTCCCCTGGGTTTGCATCAGATTAAGGGGGTGTTCACCTACCTCCCTTTCCCCTCAGTTCTGCCCTCTCCCCTGCCCCTGCAGCTCTGCAGCAAGGCCTCATCTTAGAGAAACCTGCTCAAGAGACTTTGCTAGGGCCTCTTACTGAGGGATACAGTTACCATGACAACCACACTGGTCCTTAGTTATATCTATGATTGTCAGTTTCCTGGGTGTCCCTGAAGGGGATGCTTACTAAATGGTAGTAGCTATTTGCCCCATGGGGTAGGAAAGTTGCTGAAGGACCCCGCCATCAACCCCAGATCCCACCTACTCCCCACCTCCACCCCAGTGCCTTCTCCAGCCACTGACCTCGGGGGACACTGAGGGCAGTTCGGATGTATCGAGCAACAGGCAGAAAGTAGACACTGAGGTTGAAGAATGGGTTGTCATCAGCCTCGATGCCATAGTAGTCCACGGGCATTCCACGGTAGAACTTGGCACCTGTGTCCACCTGAAACTTGCCCGCAGCAACATTCACGATGTGCGTGATGCCCAGCTGAGTCAGCCTGTACTTGTCCCGGGCTGCATACCTGCAGGTAGGGCACGGGGGGAGTTGGGAGGTGGAATAGAGCTCACTGGGTCAGCTGTGGCTGAGCTGGAACTTGCCCCTTTCCTCCCCTGACATCCCCCTCCAAGGTAGAGACTGGGACCAGTGAACTGGTCTCAGGTGAAGAGACTCCTCTAGTAGGAGTTCAAGACCCTCTTCCACTCAGGCCAGCTTTTCTGGAGAGCAATTTGGCCACATGCATCAAAAGCCTCAAAACTGTACACTTACGTTGCCCCAGCAGGTCTCCTTCTAGGAACTTAAAGATACAATCCCAGATATGCCCACAGACATGTGTAAACTGGATCTCGTTGTATTTAAGATGGTGAAAAATTGGGGAAAAAATTACTAAGTATCCTCTAATAGGAGACTGACTGTATACCATAAGTGAAATACTATGTAACCACAAAAATGTCTTCAATGGATGCAGGTGAACCAGGAGAGGTGTTTGTGCTATATTGAGAACCTGGGGAAAATGCAGGCTATTTAAACAGAACACCATTCAAAGTGTTTTTTAAAGTATGTCATGCAATTCCATTTTTTAAAAAAAGCTTTCTATACAAGGCAGATTATGAGATGGGATTATCAAATGCTACCATTTTTGTAAGGAAACAAATCGTGAAAAAGCATTTATGTATGTTTGTATATGCATCTTTAAAAGTCAACAGGGATTTTATTACTGTTGTTGTCTGTGGGAGTAGGGGGATACATATCTGCCATATTGTTAATGAGATATTGATCCATATTTCTAAAAATTAAGCTAACCTTAGAAAATCCACATACATTGATCTATCTGTTCTAAATGTTAAGGAAACTTTTAGGGAAAAGGACTCAATTCCACTCTCTATACACCCTGGAGAAAAGTATGTGTTCCCAGGACACGTGTACTAGAATGTTTCTGGGATCACTGTTCATAATAGCCCCAAAGTGGAAACAGCTCAAATAGAATGGATAAATTCTGGTGTATTCATACAAATGAGTAGTATATTCTTAGGTAGCAACAAAAAAATGAATGAACCCTAGCTACAAAGAATGTCAGCAAATCTCCCAGTTTTGAGTAAATGATGCCTGGCCCAAAACACACAATCTGATTCTATTCATGTCACCTTAAAAGACAGGCAAAACTAACACAAGCACGCAAGCGGTGAAACTGTAAAGAAGAGCAAGGAAATAATTACTTCAGTAGTCAGTCATTATCCACAGGGAAAAGAGCTATGATGAGACGGGTTCAGCAGGGGCTTCTGGGGCACAAGTAATGCCCTGTTTCCTGACCTGGGTGGTGAGACTGTGTGTGCTCTGTGCACTTTTTTTTACGTGTGTTCTATTTCCACAAAGTAATAATAACATAAAGAAAGAAATATGTAGAAAGAGATTGTGAGAAGCAAAGTGGTGCCACCTGCTCCTTACAGGGCTCTGGGAGAGGCTCCCCTTCTGCTTCCACCAGCCCCCATTAGGGGCTGGACTTACGCATCTCCCAGGAAGAGGTTGGGCCAGACTTCATTGATGTGGCTCAGCATGGCAGCCCGTCGGACCAACAGCAAGCGCTGCAGCGAGGCCAGCGTGGGCGGCTGGTAGTGGGGCACCCGGACTGCCCCATGGATCTTGGGCCTCCGGAGGTCCTGCTTCTGCAGCGAGTCCATCCTGGAACAGAGTGGACGTTGCGGTGGCCAGGGGCAGGCTCCCGCAGGTGGATCCAGCTGACAGGGAGGCCCAGGCCTGGTGGGTGCTTCAGGAAGGGCTTCAGATATTTCGGATGTGGTTCTTAACCAGCTCGGCTGAGGCTGAGGCCTAGATCCTTTCCCCAGGGAACAAGGGAATCAATCCCTTGTCACTGCTGTGGAGCTGGGAAGCCCTCTTTCCTGCTCTCCCCAGAGGCCCCTGATGATATTGGAAGTTTTGTTCAAGGGGCCCTCGGAGTTCCCTGTTTGTAAAAACTAGTCAATGCATACCCCATTCCTTAAGTTGCTGGTCTCTTGGGACTTTGTAGGGAAGGGGACCCCAAATGGCTGTGGCCCTCAGAGCATCTAGGAAGACCCCCACAACCGGGCAGCTCATCTCAAGCCCCCTCCTCTGCTACTTCTAGGACTGATCCTCAGGCCCCCACTCCTCCCATTTTCAGATGCTGGAAGGTCAGAGCCCATCTCTGGAGCGAAGGGCCTAGGCTGTAAGCTGACATTTGTTAACATTTCTATACTGAATGAGCCAATGCCTCTTAGGGTGTGGGAGGTCCCTACTGTACATTGGAGGAAGCTGAAGGTCAGGATTAATTTTAAGTGATGCCCAAAGCCACATGGCTGCTAAGTAGCAAGGCTAGAGTTTCACTCCAGCTCTGTGCTCCTTCGTTTCCATCCCCAAGCCTCTGAGTTACCACCTTTGGGGATTCCAGAGAGTGATCACTAACCCATCTGTCTCTACAGGGGAGCCTGGTGTAGCTGTTACACATCTGTCTATAGGCCCTGGGATTTTCCTCCTTACCCCCACGACTCAGGCCAGAGCTGCAGGTCAGGCCTCGTGCAGGTTGGGTGGCTTGTGTCAGGAGACAGCTGGCTGAGGGCATCCGAGACCCTGCAGAGCTGGGATGTCAGTGGCACCAGAACCTGGGTCTGGTGCTGGGCTGGGAAGGAAGGCTTCTCTTGGCTAACAGTCCCTGGCCCCCTCAACCAGTAACTAGGGAAGGTACAAACTGGGAAGAACTTCTTTGCTCTTTGATAAGCGGTGCCAGGACCGAGGAAGAGGAAATAGGCACCCAGGAGGCCACTGGCTTGGCCAAGCTCACCCAGCGGGCAGTAGGAGGGCAAGGCGGAAGTGAAGACCCGGTTTTCCCCTTCATCCCCCACTGTGACCTCTCAGGGGAGGCTGAGTGGCCTGCCACCTACCTAGGGCATGGTTTGGGTCTGGGAGTGGGGGAATGGGTGCAGGGACAGGTCTCAGCATGTGAGCGGAACCGGGCCAGGGCAGGTTCCGCCCAGAACACAAAACGTTGTGAAGCGCCTAGAATTCTAGTTCCTCGCCTTGGAGTCTGTAGGGGTGGGGCCTAAGAGTAGACCTAGGCCACTGTGGACTGAAGTGCAGTCCCTCCAAACCTCTCTGCTTGGCATCTCTTTGGGATTAAAGGCTCTTGGCTCTGGAACTCCCTATAGAGATGGGAAGCTACCTGAATTTGTGGGAAGAGAACGTTAGAGGGAGGGTGGAGAGCTCGGCCACAACTCATTCTGTGGTCAAGAGCAAATTATCTGCTCCTATCTGGGCCACAGTTTCTCTTCCTCATCTTAAAAATGCTGGCCTTGCCTGACTTTAAGGAATCTCTGCAGGGTATGACCTGAGAATGAGAGTGGCTGGGTTTGCAGTAACAGATGGTGACAGGGGAGGGCGCAGTGTAGGGTGTTGGGATGGGGAAAGTCCAGCAGCCACACTGGTCTGGACCTACCAGGTGGGGCTTCATGAGCCCCAGGTTGGGCGAGACGGGGTTTGGGAAGCCTGGCAGGCAGGCACAGGCCTCTGCACTTGGAGTAGGGTAAGGCTGCCACCCAGTGGCCAGTGGGTGCCTTGCAGCCCATCTGTACCTGGGAGCTGACAGCCAGGCTCCAGGTGAGACAGAACTTTTCCTGGCTCCTCCTGGAGGCTCCTGGGAGGAGAAGCCAGCAGGGAGGTATGGGATTATTGAGGGTCGCTGAATCACAGCCCATGCCTCAGCCTCCCAGGGGCCCTTAGCCCAGGTCTGGAGAAGGGGGCCTTTTCCTGGAACTTAGAGGTATTTCTTACTAGGCCTCACCTTGGACCTCACACCTGATGCTCATGGATGCACCCCTTACCTGTGTGCTCTGTCCCACAGGAGTCCAGCCCACCTTGTCAGCCAGAATCAGGCCTAGCTCCCACCCAGCAACTCCTCCGTCATTTTCCAGAAAAGGGGAGCTGATGAGGCAGCTGCAGCAGCCCCCTGGTTTCTGCCACCCCCAGACCTGGACTCCTGAGGCCCCTGCCGGACACCTCCTGTATGTCCTCGGCCACCGCAAGCTGAAGCCCGGGCCCAGCGTCCAGCAGGGCCGGGCCTGGCCTGGCCCTCCTCCACACTCACACTGGTGCTCGGTCTGCCCCGGTCCTGCCTCTTCTCCCTAAGCTGAGAGCTGCGTCTGTGGGCAGCTGCTGTTTTCAAGCTCAGACACTTGTTTTCTGCCTTTGTGCCTCGCCTCTCTTGCTCTCCCTGGTTGCCTCTGTCTGTCAGCCTCTCACAGGGGCTCCTGCTTCTCCACAGTCACCCAGCACACCACCCCGTGTGCCGGCTGCCTTTGGCCAAGGCATGGGCTCCGGGCGGTGGGGGCGGGGAGGAGCTGTCAGCCATCCATCTCCTCCGTGGAAGCTCCAGATGTTCCCCCAGTCTGCCCTCCTGCTTGCTCTCTCTGCTTCCCCCTCCTCCTCCCCAGATGGACCAGATGGGACTGTGTCCACAGGAGGTCTCAGGGCAGGACAAGTGAGGAGTATGGTGGAGGAAGGTGCCTCATGGTCGATGCCCAATAAATGGTGCATCTTACTATTATTATCACTACTGTTATTACTGCTGCCCTCTCAATCCTCAGCCACACCCTGGGTAGAGAGTAACTTTCCAGCAGGACAGTGAGGCTTGGTCTCTATCTCTTTGTGTCTCTTGATGTCTTTTTGTCCAAAAATAATTATTATATTCACCCACTTACTAAGGATGTACTATGTATCAGAGCTGAATACTTATGTCTTCTCCCTGAATCAGTACCCTTAAGAGTTAGATAATATTATCATTCCTATTTTGTAGATGAGGAAACTGAGACTCAGAAAGATTAAGCCATATGCCCAAGGTCACACAGCCAAATAAGCATGGGAGCCAGGATTCAAGCGCAGGTCTTCCTGACTCTACTATGCTTTGTTAGTGCCTCTGTCTCTGACCCAGTCCCTCCCCCAACCTAACCCAGTCTCTCCTCAGCACACACAGGCACAGGTGTCCTGGCCCTCATACCCAGCATGCTCTGCAGCCCCCCGAAACAGGGGCACTCACCCACCTGTGGGGGTATCTGGCCCAGGCTATAGTCTTCTCGGACGGGTACTTCGTGCTGCCGACTTCAAGCCGCCTGTCTCTGCACACTTGATGCTGTTTCTATTTTTTGATTGGAGTTTAATTATAAAGCATGATGTGCTGCTCCCCTCTTCTGTCCTCCTTTTGCCACTCCCAACTCACCCACTGGTCCCCTGGCATGGTCAGTGCCAAGCCCAGCCAGGCACCTGGCCCTGCTGGGAGCAAAGGCAGTCCTGCAGGGGTCGGTCTGTTGTATGTGTGTATGATGATCATGGGGCAGGAAGACAGAAGATTGAATAAGCCATTTTGAAAGCTCCCTTGGTCTTCAAGGGTGGTGTGGAGCATGCGGAAGGTTAAAGCTAGAAGGATCCTCCATGGAGCAGGACAGGGAAAAGACTAGCCAAAATCACACACAAAAACTGGCAGCCTTGCCAGCATCAGAACTCAGGTCCAGGGGCCTTTAGTTGGGAGCTGAGGATTACAGGACTGGCCCAGGATTAAGATCTGGAAGACTCAGGCTGAAGGAAGTATGGGCAGACAAACAAATATGTAAGTGGAGTTTAGAGTAGGCCTTTGGACCAAACTCAGCAGTTGTGTGTCTGGAAACCACTCTGCCCTCTGCCAAGTTCCTCCTTCCCTCAGAAGGCATTCCTGGCTCAGGCCTCACTGTCCCTTGAGGCCAGTGCGATGATCTAAGGTCACTCCTCATATACCCATGTGTCAGTACTCTTCCCACTTGCACCCCCAGACAACTGACACACACACAGATGTGTGCATACCCTCAGCCACACCTCCACTGGGTCTCTGAGCCTGCTGCGGCTCCCTGAGCCCTGGGGAGAGCTGGCGGTGGCAGCTGTGGCCAAGGGCTAACAAGAATACTTAGAATCCCCTCCCGCTGTCCTCCAATGCCCCCCACCTCCTGAGGGAACTTAGGGTTCCTGGCCGAGGAGCTTCAGGGCTTGGCTGAGAGGGTCATCCCTTCCTACCTGTGAGAACTGGATACAGTGGCTGAGAGGGAGTGCAGGCAGCAGGAGGAAGCGGATGGAGTTGCAGGCTCTGGGATGGTCCCCAAACTGGGCTCTTATCATCTTCTGGGTATCCACCTGGGCCAGAGGCTCCAGCAGCACCAACAGGACCAGCGCCTGAGTGGCAAAGTGGCAGAGCCCCATGACAGGGCGTAAGGACCAGCTCTGGGGGAGAGAAGAGCTCCATGTTACAGGTGGGTAAACAAAGGCTCAGAATAGCTGAGACTCATCAGGACAGAGGCGAGAGCTGCCAGATCAACCTGCTACTGCCTCAAGCCTCCATGTGAGGTCAAGTGGGTATGCATGCCAGGAGAGATGAGGTTGCAGGTTTGGGGTCCAGGGCACACAGAGAGACGACCTCTCCCCCAACCCTCTCATTTCTCAGATCCCCAGCCCCAGGGCTGCTGTGTGTCGTCACACAGGTTGTTCATTGCACAACTCCTGGGGCTCCAGCTGCACAGACTGTTTGGTGGATGGCACCCCCAGGAGTTGTGCAGCTCTGTAGCCCAACTAACCTCCACTCCAAAGCCTGCTGCCTAAAGGGGAAGATGCTGGGGTCTGAGGTCAGGGTTATTTAAGGGCCTGGGGCCTTTAAGGAAGTACGGTGATTGGGCATGATCAGCGATCTCCTGTTCTGCCAGTTCCCAAAACCTGTTTAGGGGAAAGAGGGCAGGATGGGAACATGATGTTCCTTTTCCCCTTTTGGCTCCCCACACTGCAGAGCTCCCCACAGCAAGTTCCCACCTACCCTAGCCCCATGCCTAATCCCAACCCCAGCTATTAGCCTCATTTTCTTCCATTACACTCACCCCCAGACTCTAAACCTAGCCCTCTGTCCTGTCCTAGTCCCCATCCCCAAGATGCTTATCCTCTGAAAGCACGTGGGAAGGGATCGCTATTGCTAAAGTGCTTCCTCTTGGCTGGGCTGGCTATGCCTTCAGAGACAAGACAGCTCTCATGGGTGACGGGCAGGGGGAGATCCAGGCCATGCACCAAGAAGCTCTTGGCAGGAGGAGAAAGCTACCGCTCTCCCAACTCCCAGGAGAGCCCCCACCCCCAAGTGGCAGCCCCTCTGAGCCAGTGGGTGGTGGAGTACAGTCAAAGTCAGGGTTGCAGAGAGATGAGGGAAGGAGTAATATGGGTAGCAAGAGCTGAAGGTGGAACAGGAGGAGTGGAGAGCAGCTCTGAAGATCTAATTTCCCATCTGACGGCCCCCACTGGGGATGTGAATGTAAGGGAGATGGGCTCTTGGGGCCAGACAGGGACAGCCCCAGCCTGGGCACGGTGGGAGAAGAAGGGCAGTGGGCCTTCTGCAGCTGCTCACAATCTGGTGCTCCTACAGCCACTCCCCCTGAGGAAGAGACGTCCCTGCCTCCTCTTAACTGAGCTGGAGGAGAACATGGCGCTGGTGCCAAAGAAATTGCAGCAGCACCTCAGTCACCATGTGTGGACGGGGAGCCTGAGAAGCAGTGTTGCTGCTGGGTGAGCCCAACTCCTTCTGGGCAGCTGGGGACATGGGGGACTCTAGCAGGAGGGAGGCAGCTTGGGGAGAGAGGTACTGGGGATCTGTTCCCCTTATGCAGCTTAAGGACCATCTGCTATTGCTCCAAATGCACTGAACACAGAACAGGAAGGCCGGAGGTAGATGGATAGACTTGAGGAAACACCTTTATGTCCTAAAGGGGGCCCAGAGCCAGGGAAGGAGCTCAGGGAGGATCCCTCTGTAGATCTCCGAGATCATACTGGGTGGGCGTGAAGGTAGAGAGCAGGGTACCAGGTCCAAGGCAGAGAGCTGAATGGCATGGCGACAGGAGAACTTTACATGGAGCTTGTGTGAGGAGGTTATGGCTGATGGCAGGAGCATCTGTTCTTCTCCTTTGTGGGAATGACAGGGCTGACATGAGAATTATCTAAGCTCAGAGCTGTAGCTGCAGCCACACTTTTCCCCGAGGGCTGTGGCTGGAGTCCAGCCCTGCAGGGAAGGTATGCAGAGGGGTATGGAAGGCCCAGACAGCCCTCAGGGGCCAGGACTGGCTGCGCTGCTGCCTTGGTTGGGTTCAGGGGAGCCCCACAGGCTTTCAGCCAAGGAGGCAGGGCTGGTCAGCATCAAGACCGGGAAGGAGGCCTCACCTCTTCCATTTTATTCTTTCCTCCCCTTTCCCTTCTAGCCTTTCCAACCTCTCTCAGTCTGAAGAATCCTGGTGGGCTAGGGGATAAAGAGGGTCCTACCAGGGAGTTGCCTCATCCAGGCCCTGGTGAGACCCTGGGTCAGCAGCTTGGGGAATGAGGCAGGCCTCCTTCAACTCTCTGCCGACCACTCACAGCCCTGACATCCAACCTCTGAACTAGTCCCATCCACGTCCCCTTACTTCCGGTTGTACCCTTGCCCTCTGCCCATCCCTCACCTGACCTCTCATTTTTTTGTTTTGGTCCATCTTATTTGTTTTGTGAGGGAGGTCATTAGGTTTCTTTATTTGTTTATTTTTTAATGGAGGTACTGGGGATCGAATTCAGGACCTCGTGCATGCTAAGCATGCGCTCTACCACTGAGCTCTACCCTCCCCTGACCTCTCACTTCTCACTACACCCAGCCGTGGCCCCTCACACCCTGCCCGACCCTCACCTGGCCCCTCAGCTCCGGCCTGCACCCCGCAGCTGCTGGTCCAGCTGGCAGAGCTGGTGGAGGAAGCCTCGGTTGGGGAAGACCCATCGGTGCTCCCGCACGGTGATCACCGCCTGGCGCAGGGACAGCTGCTGGCGCAGCATGAGGTAGGCCAGGACCAATGTGGCGGAGCGGCTCACCCCTACCACACAGTGCACCAGGACCTTGGCTGCAGAAGACATCCTGGTAAAAGACCCTTTCCCACCAACCAGCCCACCCAGGAGCTGAGGTGGGGACCCAAGTTCCTTTCCCTGCTCTGCTTTGTGGCCCTGGGCAAATCATTCAGCCTTTATTGGCCTTGGTTTCCTGATCTGTCAAATGGGTATACCAACATCTGTTAGGCCTACCCTTGGGATGGGGTCCATGCTCCTTCATGTGGCTGACAAGACCCTCTGTGAGCTGCCCCTGCTGCCCCTGCAGCCTCATCTCAGGCTGTCTCACCCCAACCCTCAGCTCTAGGAATCCTGGCTGACTTTCAGTTCCTTGAAGCTGTCATGGTTCCTGGCCACCAGCCTCACCACATGCAGTTTCAACTACCTGTAAAACTTTTCCCCTTCTTTCAGTCTGACTAACATTTCCTGCTCATCTGTCAGGTTTCCACTGAGACAAGGCTTCCTGACCATTCATGATATCACTTGAATCACAGAGCAGCTCATCCTTTTTGCACGTGGCCAGTGAAGGCTGCTGTAGAGGGAAGTCCCTCCACCTCTCCAGTCTTCTGAAATGAGCATCCTACCCTGTGCTCCCATTGTGCTGCACAGTGGCCCACTCATCTGAGTAGCACTCATGATACTTTCATGTTTTGACTGTCTTTCCACCAGGGGCCCTGACTTGCCTAAGTGTGGATTCCCAGTATGTGGCTCAGTGCATGGCACAGAAAAGATAATAACGAGTTGGTGAATGAATGGATGAACAAATGAATGTCAAAGTGCTCTGGGTTGAAAAGTGCTATGAGCCATAGCCTTGTCTTTCCCATCACACAGATGAGAAACTCAGGTCCAGAGAGGGACGCTGGCTTGCCCGGGTCAGGCAGGAAGGGGCACAGTTCTCACCCCCATGAACACAAAGCCCAGGCTCCAGCCTCCCCAGGCTCCTTTTTTGTACCCTAGGTATTAGAAGGTTTTTTCCATTTGAAAGTACTTCGGGGCAGAAGCAGACATCTAGGTACCAGATGGTGATTTCCCAAGGCTGAGTGATGCAGAGGAAGTACGGTTTTGTTGTTTGGGAGACCTGGCTTCCAGCTCCAGGGCTGCTCCTAACTCGTGGTGTGACCTTGTATTCTAGGCCTCAGTTTCCATTGCTTCCTGTGAAACAATGAGGTTGGATAAACTGCTAGAACACAGAGCATAGGATTTTTAAAACCTGGTGGCTTTTTAGAAGCTAGGGGTGGGAGGGCACTGAGGTTTGAGAGGAAACTGGACATCCGCCGTGACTGAGCAGGATGGGATATGGGTTCTGCCCCTGAGTCCTACCCCCAGGTGTGCTGAGGGCACGGTGGATGAAGTCAGCTGCAGAGGAGAAGTAGGCACTGATGTCGAAATCAGGAAGGTCGTGGGCGGGCACCCCCAGGTAGCTCACGCTGCTGCCGTAGAAGTCAGGGCTGCCGTGACAATACAGGCCCCCGTGGGCGGCGTTCAGCACGTGGGTGATGCCCAGCTTCCATAGCTCAAAGCGGTTATTTGCCGTGGCCCTGGGGAGGGGGAAAAAGGGTTGCTGGATGCTGGCTGAGCCATGAGGTTCAGGAAGGAAGCTTTGCCTGGTCCCCTGCTTCAGAGTGATGGAGACATTAGGGTCCAAAGGGAGCCAGAAGGAACCCATGGGGTCCACAGCTCACAATCCCACTCTTGGGACCTTCTGGTAGGAGAGTTGGTGACACAAAGATTTAGCTTTAGCCCCTCTTTGCTTCCTTAGGCAATCTGCCCCTGCCTTGCCTAGGACAGGAAGGAAAGAATTGCTTCAGTCCTGGGAGTCAGCTGCCCCTCCCTTCTTGCCCCATGCCATACCATACACGTACATCCAGCTTCTCCTGGCCACTACCTCATACCTGCTTCTAAAATGCAAATGTTTAGAGGTGACACCTTCCCTGATTCACCTTCAGTCAGGCTTTCTCACCCACTCTGTGGCTGGGACCAGGAAGAGGAGCTCTCTGTCCACTCCATCTCATACCCCAAATCACCATTCCCCAGTCCTCTGCCCCCTAGACTCGCCTGTTCTTCTGGATGTGCCTCCCAGAAGACTCCAGGAACCTCTGGAAGCTCCCTTCTTTCAGGCCAGCAAAGTCCCGCTCCCCCTGGTGGCTACATCTGATCACTGCACTGCTCCCAGCACACAGGGGTCCTGAACAAAAGTCCCTGGCCTGGGGTGATCACAGTATTTGCCCTTGTTCCCACCGTACCCCCATCTCTGGTAAAGATCCCAAGAACTGTGTCTCCTTGTCACCACCCCCACACCCCTTTGTCCAGCTACCACTCACGCATCTCCTATGTAAAGGTTGGGCCAAACTTCATCCACGTGGTTGGAAGAAAATTTCCCTGCCCTCAAGAGCTCCTCCAGTTCCAGGATGCTGGGGCAAGGCAGGGCTTCGGTATCTCCCCGCAGCTCTGGGAGCGAGGCCTCCGCCATAGGACAGCCCACCCACCCCTCTGTCTCTGCCGTCACTCCTCTCTGCCTCTCCAGTGTCATTTCTCCTTCCTGGAGATTGGCAGGGACAGGTGGGACATCAGCAGTGACTCAGCAAGTCACAGGGGCCTCGAAAGAGAACAGGACATTTTCCTCTCCAAGTCACCCCTTAACCCAAAACTCTGTGACAATATGGAATCAGACATACCTCTGCAAGTCACTTTATCTTGCAACCTCAGTTTCTTTATCTATAAAGTAAGGATAATTACACCTACCTCAGAGAATTGTGAAGATTAAATGAAACAAAGGCTATTCTATGTCTAACACATAGTAAATGCTTAAGAAACATTTGTTGAATTAACAGATTTAGACCCCTATATAAAGCTATTTGGTTTGAGGACTGAGTTAAAGTAGAGATCTAGGGTGCAGAGGAGGTGGTTGGCTCCAAGGATGAATAATAGGAAAAGTTCTGCAGGCCTGTGTGGGTCACAAGCTGGGTGGGAACTGTATGGCTGTTGGATGAACTTCTGGATTATGGAGGGGAAGTTTCCTGAGTTATAGAGTCAGAGAAATGTGGAGAGGAGGCATAGAGGACCTCATCGAAAGGGTGCCAGTAAGGTTTGTGAGGAAAGATTTGGCAATGGTTCTGTTATGAAGATGGGCGATTTCTCAAAAGAGAAGGCTAAAATGGGCCATGTATGTCAAAGGGGCAGAAGGGAGGTGACTGTTGCCCTAGACTTTCTGAAAAACCAAAGGGCTATCATCAGAAATATTTTGGGGGTGGGAGGGACATTCCTCTGCCTATAAAGGCTTTTATCCCCACAACAGAAACAGAAAGTTCTATTATCTGTCCTGCTAGAACTAGTTATGGGACGAAGAAGTGAGATGTCTTGCCCGCTCTCAGATGACTTCATGAATCTTGATGGGGCTGGGAGGGGTATGAGCTGCAGTGGGAAGGCTCCCAGCTGCACCTGGCCTTGAGTCCAGCTCCAGGGTAATGGCCACACCAGTGTAGAGGAAAGCAGTCTGCACTCATGTGCACCCCAGAACCTGTCCCCACTCCCATCAGAGCCGCTGAAGTCTATCCTGCACTGCCTGGGAAAGCTAGGCCAAGGAGGGGCTGGAGCTCAGATCGCAGGTGGTTTCGGAATCAGTTTATGCCAATGCTAGGCCTGGGTTGGGACTTCCTACAGGGTCGGGTAATATAGTAAAGTGAGAAGAGCATAGGTTCTGAAGTCAGAGAGATTTGAGTAGGAATACTGGCTTTGGCACATATTAACTGCCCTACCTCAGGGCAAGTTTCTTGGCCCTTCTGTTTGTAATATTTTGTAGAGCTGGCAAAAGGATTAAGTGAGATATTTATGTGGCATTTGGCATAAGGACTGTGAGAGACTAAAAGGGTATTAAATGGTAACAATGATGATGGGGGTTGGCTCTTGGAGAGGAGCTGGCTCCCTCCAGAGGAATTCAGATAACCTCCTCTTGTCCCCAGACCCTATTTACTAATCCCATAGGCCCCGCCCCATCCTTACTAGCCCCTCATCTCCCACTTTGACTTTGGGCCTGACGCACGCGCTCTCAGGTTTCCTTGCTGTGGTTTCATTCCACGATTCTTCCCTCACGCCCATCTTGAGCCCCGCGTCACTTCCTGTTTCGGCCCCGCCCCACGCCAGTAGGGCTCCACCTCCCGCCGGTAGGGCCCCGCCTCCAGAAGCACATCCGGTTCTGCTATCAGCGGCTGCCGGCGCGGCTGAGACCGGGGCCGCAGCAATGCCTGCGCGCAGCCGCCACCGCCACCGCCTCCACTCCGGCTCCCCTCCCCGGGCCCCGCCTCCGCCGCTCGAGGCGGTTCACTCCGCCGAGGCCCGGAGGGCGCCGGACTCCGACGGCGGCTCGGACGCCGACTCGGAGGAGGGTTCGGGGAGCCCCACTCGGACCGCGGAGGTGAGCGGGAGCTGAGGCTGAGGAGAGGGGAGTTTGGGGGGCGTCTGCAGTAAAGGGCGAGTGGGGAGTCGGGGATGGAGCCGGGGGCTGCCACGGACAGGGCCCCGAGGGGCCCCGAGAGATGGTTGAGGGAGCGTGGAGAGTCAGCCCTAGAATGGAATTTGAGGGAAATGGAGGTTGTTGAGCCGATGGCCCGACGCTGAGAGGGGTAAATAGAGGCTGAG